GCGAATAGAGGAGGGGTACCTGCTAACGGTCCAAGTCTGTAAAGACGCATAGTGGAACTTCTCTTGGAAGTCATTGACGATGCTCAGGTGATTGAGTATAATGGTGTTTACCGTGGGAGGCTCAACGTCAACATCAACCTCTTTGTCTTTATTTCTCTTCGGGCCTCCACCAAAGAGAAGACCAGAGTTTTCGAAAGATTCAGTAAAAGAAGCCATGGTAGTATAAAAGGTAGTGAAGTTTTTTTGAAGAAAGTCAGAAAAAGATGAAAGTAGAAGGAGATTAAGTACAAAGAAGATGATGAACTTAAGAAATTTTTAGAAGTAAAAGAGGTAAAATGATGAGTATAAGTAAAGATATAGACGGCAAAAATTGTGGTCATGATTACCTCAAGAACCACCGAAAATATTGCTAAATCGTGAGGCAACACATGTTCGGAGTATTAAATACAAGAAGACGTGCGTCCTTTCAAGCGTCAGAGACTGTTCAGAAGGTTTTCAGAAGATTTCTCTCCAAGAAAGGGATCTTCACCAACTTCCTAGTGACACAAAGATATGCCACCGGAAAGCAGGGGACTATCTATATAAGGTAAAATTGGTTTTATATTAAATGATCAAATAGTAGCGTGACACGTGGAACCTAAGACAGGTAGAAAGTAAATCAAGTAACAACTCGTACCGGGAATAACAACAACAGTTGGCATCGGATAGACCCCGAATGGACATGATCAACGTGAGCAGATCGAACGTTTGCCATCGGATAACATTTAATGAAGAATATTCCCTGTCATTAAATGGGCAGTCGTTGTAAAGAATATTTGCATTCATAGCCCGCCGTTACATATTCATCAATAACCCCTTTATTGTCATTTAAGAGGGGCTTGATCCTAGGATCTTGCTTCCCTAGGTGTAGTTATAAATAGTATGTTGAACAGCCATTATAAGACACGAAATTCTTGGCAAAACTTATGTTATATTTCATTCACAAGCTTAATCAGATAACTTTATTTTCTCTTTTACATTATTCTTATTTCTGTCCTCGGAGGCATTGCTCTCGAAGCTAAGCTTGTCATTTCCTTCGATTTTAACTGCTAATTTTTGTTTTCAATCTTATTTATTTATTATTTTTGGATCAAATCAGTTTGCTTGTCTATAAACCACATAACGAATTAAACTGTACCGTTTTACGGGTAAACAATACCAATTACATTTTCTTCAAATGAATTAGGCGAGTATAAATTAGGCAGCTATCTAAGTAAGAAATATATCCAATAAAACTTTCTTTCTCTTCCTTTCTATGATAATATGGAGATTCATTTCAACTTAAATTCATTCTTACTCTTTAATGTATAACTAAACAAAAGTAAAATTTTGTTGAAAAGGATCAGCTAGGCATCAATATTTGTCAAAAATTAGTTTCCAATAGGCACCAATATTTTGACAAGAGGGGTTGCTCTCTGTTGGAAACAGCCTCTATATCTCATGGTAGGGGTAAGGGGTAAGGGGTAAGATCTGCGTATACACTATCCTCCCCCAGATCCACTAGTGAGATTATACTGGGTTGTTGTTGTTTAGTTCCATTATACCTCAATATACTACCCTAAAGAAGCAAACAAACATGAAAGAATCAAAATGAACGATGTTTAAATAGTCAAAGCCAACTGGAAAACAAACTGAGAAAGCTTATTTAACACTGATATTATCGTCATAATGATAGCCATAACTCAATTTTTTATTAAAAAAATCCTGAATCAGTATGGCAGAAGCAACTTCACAAAATCACTAATCATCCCAAAATTCCCTTAGAGCCTAAGCAAACACCAGCAGTAGACTAAAGAAAGAACAAGTTAAAAGTCCACAATAGCAGATATTAAGCAGAATATTTTACCATTGCAGACCCCTAAAGAGATAGGGTTTACAATGCCTAATTTAAAACAGGTTTGCTGCAGATTGGGAAGTGCCGCTGGTGAAGGAGATAAACCCTAAACTGAGAGGAAATCTTTGGGTGTATATTGCATTAAGATTTGAATTGCCACTGGTTATTCTGATGTTTAAAATGTGAGAAAAGGTTAAATTTCGGAAACTTCATCATGCTAGGCTGAAGTTCACATAAAGAGCATTTTGGAACTCCAGCACAGTAATTTCTATATACATCTACAGGTATTCTCAAATTCATTTATTTAGGTAACTGTTCTGTGATTGTGACACCAAATCCGAGCGATAATCTCCTCATTTATTTATTCTAATCACCAAAATATATTGATAAAAGATATGTGGGATTACCTTATTAGCTTTCGCTAATCAACTACCATCTCTTTTCATGATTTCTCTGTTCATATTGAAAGCAACATCTTCATCAAATGAAACGAAGTCATTATAAATCAGGTGCTATCTAACTAAGAAATATCCAATAAAATTTTCATTCTCTTCCTTTCTTTGATAATATGGAGATTCATTTCAACTTAATTTCATTCTTGCTTTTCCTTTTCCTCTTTATTTTCGTTAGGAAATGGAAAAAACTGATAACTAGGGGTAACAAAAGATTGCCACCAGGTCCATGGAAATTGCCCCTTATTGGAAGCATGCATCACTTAATTGGAGCACTTCCACATCATGCTCTTAGAAATTTAACCAGAAAATATGGTCCACTGATGTACTTGCAGCTAGGGGAAGTTCATGCAGTTGTAGTATCATCGCCTCGCTTGGCCAAACAAGTTCTAAAAGTTCATGACCTTTCTTTTGCAACTAGGCCAAAGCTTATGCCATCTGATATAGTTTTTTACAGTCAAAAGGACATTGTATTTGCAGAATATGGGGATTACTGGAAACATATGCGTAAAATATGCATTTCAGAGCTCCTCGGTCCAAAGATGGTTAAGTCATTTAGTTTAGTTCGACAAGACGAGGTTCATAATCTTGTTACATCAATTTGTTCCACGCCAAATACTGTGATTAACATGACTGAAAAGGCTCTTCAACTTACCAGCTCCGTGATTTGTAGATCAGCTTTCGGAAAAGTATGGGAAGATCGAGATGATTTGCTAATGATGATGAGGGAAGTACTTGCCCTTGTTAGTCGGGTTTGATGTGGCAGATTTCTTTCCTTCTTGGATATTACTTCACAAAATTTGTGGAATGAGAAACAGATTGATGAATATGCATCAAAAGATTGATGTAATATTGGAGAAAATTATTAATGAGCATAAAGAAAATCTAGCAAATGGGAAAAAGGGCAATGGTGAGTTTGGGGGTGAAGATCTGATTGATGTTTTTCTCAGAGTTATGGAGAGTGATGAACTTCATTTTTCAATGACAAATGACAACCTCAAAGCAGTCATTCTTGTAAGTTTTGTTCCATCTCATGAAGATGGTCTCTCTCTCTCTCTCTCTCTCTCTCTCTCTCTCTCTCTCTCTCTCATCAAACCAAAGAGTATGTTTCCTTTTCTTTTGGTAGTGAGGACAATTTGTTGGTACTTTAGATATATCCATCTCGTGTGTCAAAGTCTTTCTTTTGTTTCTTAAACTCCATATATGGCATAACATTACATAAAATGTGATGTATACAGGATTTCTTAACTTAATACATATTTCAAGTGCTGGTTTGAGTTAGTCCTATCATTTGGCAAATTAATAGTTAAACATCAATGATGTAGGACATGTTCTTCGGTGGAACTGAAACTTCATCAACAACAATTCAATGGGCATTGTCTGAACTGATGAAGAATCCAAATGTCATGGCCAAAGCACAGGCAGAAGTGCGATGGGTTTGTAGAGGAAAGAAAGATTTGGATGACAATGATCTCGACGAGTTGCAGTATCTAAAGTTAGTGATTAACGAAACACTACGGTTACACCCTGCATCTCCTCTTTTGGGACTTAGGGAATGCAGGGAAGAAACAGAAATTGATGGATACACTATTCCTTATAAAGCCAAAGTGATAGTTAATGGTTGGGCCATTGCAAGAGATCCTGAAAGTTGGGACGATCCTGAAAATTTTGTGCCCGAGAGATTTGAAAACAGTTCTGTGGATTTCAATGGAAATCATTACCAATTTATTCCATTTGGTGCAGGAAGCAGGATTTGTCCAGGAATGCATTTCGGTTTAGCTAATGTTGTGTATCCCTTAGCACAGTTGCTTTACCACTTTGATTGGAGACTTCCTTGTGGACTAGAACCAGAGGATCTAGATATGACTGAAACATGTGGAATATCTGCAACTAGGAAAAAACATCTTTACTTGATTGCCATTCCACATGATTTGTCATAATATTGACACAAACTGTCATTAGCATAGTTTTATAATGTGTTGTTGCCTTTTTAGACTCTGCAAAATCCCATTTCATCATTCTAAAAAATGTATCCCGTGCGAAAATTAACAAATCCTATTTCATCTTTCTAAGTGCAGAAGAGTGATGGTGGAGGGCTGTTAATGATTGATCTTGGTTAGAATCATGCAGTTTTAAGGAAGTAAGTTGGGGTTTCATCCCCAGTTAGAGGCTTAGTTGCAGTTAGTAGGCAACCTGAGAGAAAACATTGACCAGGTCTAGTCTAGCTCTTTGTATTAATACAAGAACACTTTCTATATAGGTTTTGTTTGCTATTCAGTATTCGGATTTTTGTTTGTAATAATGAAGGACAATGCTTTAAATAATTGTTGACTGTCATGCTTTGTTCTGTTTCTTTGGGTGAAGAGGGCAGTAGTTTGCTAATATAACTTCGACCATAGGTCTTTGTCTCGTTTGCAAAGCTAGTTCTGACTTTGCTTGCATTATTCTTAATTCATAGCTGGAGATTAAGAAGAAGAAAAAACTAAAAGGGGAAGCGGCAGGACGGGTTTGCACCTTATTGTGTTTTCTGAACGAAGAGAGCATCAGTCTTGGCTGCAAACTTCTAGGGGATTTGTTAAACATAGCCCATGTCTTTTTCAGATTACCCTTAGTCCAGACGAACAATGCATTATCCCATGAAATTTACAACAATTCCACTTCATTCTAGAATATAATTAAGATCACAAATGCACATGGGTTTCATGTTATTTCAGATGTGCTTACTTTCACGATAGAAGCAGCAATTCATGCCAATTTACAAGAGAAAACAAAAATACAAAGGTGGGGTGGATATTTACCTCTATACAGATCCTAAGTAAACCCAAAGATAGATAGACAGGAAAGTTCCTAATCATTGAATGATCCAAAAACAATGAAAACTTTATAAACACCATCATACATCTTCCCTTTCAACATTGTCAAGAAACAGCGCGTCATTGATTACCTTGTGAACCTTAGCTGAGATGATTTTGCTGGCATCATCCGAAAAGAATAATCGAATTGGTATGAAGAAAAGATGGATGTGAAGACTGCCAGTTCAACCGACAATTGCCAGTAGGCTCTGTCTTACTGCGGGAACAGAGCACACAAGGGAACCAAATATACCAGTGAGGGCATATGCAATAGCACAGAATGGAAGCGCTTCAGGTTCCTTTGCTGACAAAGCTGCTGTTCCGAGCCCATGAGCACTTAAAAGCAGGAGAAAATGGTCATGTTAGAGCAATATTATCTGGCTTGGATCTTCTTCTAATTTTTAATGCATGGTTTTTCTCAAACATAAAAATGGTTCCTACCTTGACGCAGTTGCAATTCCTCGAGCAATCGGATCATTGAAGCCAAGTTTATCCAGCACTGCCTGAACAAAATTTGCTCCCACCAAACCAGTTAGTACAACAACAGCTGCTGTGAGAGATGAATTCGCACCTGAATATTTACACACGTAAGAACATTTCAGCTTCTTTTTCACTCTTTATTTCCAGATAATCCATGATTAGTCAAGTTTTCATAGAAAAGATGAAATATTCCTGACCTTCAAAGAAAGAAACAATGCTGAGAGCTAGTGCGACAGTTATGCATCGTGGTAGGATTGATACAGTTAAATTTGGCTCCAACCCAATCAGCCGTCCAATGAGAGCGGTAGAATATAGCGAAAATAGCGTTGCTATAATGACAGAGCTGAAAATCTCAGCAGCATGCCGTTTAACAAGCTGGGAGTAGAAAATAGTTAATTAGCATAAGCAAAGACAGGGACAGGTGAGAGCGTGAATCCTCTGAAGGACCACCCGTCATACATACCCTGGCTGCAACAAGTCAGGAAGGTGAGGGGTAAAAGGAAAAGGTTATGTTTGTAAGAAAAGTGCAGGACAAGCAAAACAACTCCAAAATATATCAACCGCCAGGTTTTGGAATTTCGTTGTTCTTTTATCTTTCATATCATTAGTAATTTGCTCATTTTTCTTGTTTTGTTCCATTCTTGTGCAATATACACCCTCTCCAGCAAACAATAAAATTCCTCAGTTACTTTAAATTTCCTTCCTGTTAGCAGCCTTAGTTGCAGTTCATTTTTAATTACCTTTCTCTGCTTGAACATTGAGAAGGCAAAGGAGATAATGACTGATCCCAAAAATCCCATGAGAATGTCACCAGCTCCAGGATTAGATGCGGCCTTTGTAAGATAATCCCCTGAATAAATTAGCAAGGCGAAAGTACAACTTTGATTAGCTGAATGGAGCAAATAATGTTGTTTACAACATCCGATATCTTGCAACCTCATGAGTTTCTGCCTGATCAAAAGCCTAAGGCCAATGATGAAACTCCAATCACAGAACTGTTATGGGCATTCCTACTAAGTCAAAATACCAATCTAAGTTGATATAGTTAGTAGTTAACTTATCAGATACAAATGTAAGCATAAGAAAATGAGTAAATATATAACATAGAAGTAAGATCTTCACCAAGAACTGGATCAAGTCCAGACCGAGAAAGATATCCAAAAGCAATTGCTGCAAGATCTGCTGAGACTGCACAGCAGATAATCGGATGGAAAACCTTCTTTACAGCCAATGGAAGCCTGCGAATATAAACCTTATGAATGTACACGCCAGATAAAATAAACTGAATATTGTATTTATTCATGCTGAGATGCTGAATCATACCCTGACCCAACTAAGTAGCCTAATACAGTAGATGAAAGTAGAAAGGGTAAGCATGTTCTAGCACTTGTTCCCAGCGCTGTTGGATAGAGAAGTGCACCAACAAATGACGCCAAAAAGATCCCACTCCAAGTCCACACCTCCAAAGAAGAAAAGGGAGAAGGCTTTGACATGGGCTCAGCTGGTATCATCTCGGTCTTTACCATTTTCCTCACAGCTATAGCTGTGAAACCCGCAACACAAAGTGAAGCCAACCAGCCTCCAACTGCAGAACTCCAAAATTAGTTACACATTGTGGTAGAGGGAGAGAAGAACAAGAAAGAAGCTGCATCCTTTTTATCACTATATATTCTTTACTAAAGAATAAATTTATCAATTTAGTAGAAACATGTTCAACTCTAAACATGTGCCCTTGAGTTGAATGTCCAAACACTTTGTTTATTTCATAGGAAGATCTTCAGCTATGAGTAACTAATAGCATTTTCTTATACACACCAGCTTCAAAGTGTGATTATTATTTACCAATGCAAGAGCTTGTAGAAGCTAAATAGGTATCAAACCAAGTTAGATGATCTTACAAGCTCTTTCTGCAAAAGAACCAAAAGTTTTGCCTTTTAATTTATTCAATAGAATGAAGATATTGTACCTAGAATGAAACAAATCTTGGCCCCAGAAGCTGCAGGAATATCCTTGACAGCAAGAGGGAGAACAACCAACGAAGGTACATAAAACAATGGGAGCCATCTCTGGATAAACAAAAGTGCAGGCTCAAAGAAGTTCATCAATCCTGCTGCAGCCTTAGGAACAACAGAGTCAAGAGCCATTAACACAGTAAATGTGCAAAACATTCCAAATAAAGCACTTGGGAACTTAATAGCAGCAGCCACAAATGCTTTCTTTAACAACTTATCCATGGCCAGTATGATTCCAAGTGAAACTACTAAATGCAATACTCCCACCACCTACAGCAAAACAAACACCCAAAAAACATCAAAACTCAAGCTATCCAATCAAAATTACATAATATCACAGAGAATAAGTCTCAATTTTTTTGCCTTGTTTGATAACCCTGTGGAGGTAATACTACTATCTGATCCCATGGACCTGACTAGAAGAAATCTTCTACTAGCGTGAGTTCTCTTAACACCCATTTCATTTCTCTTGGTAGGGATGATTTGAACTCCATTAGAGCTCAAATGGGGCTGCTGAGAAAGGACTCTATGTGGGGTTTGTAAGGATTTCAACTTTATTTGAGAGAGAGTTCCTGTTCTTGGGTAAGGGAGATTGGGAAGAAATGAAGGTAAAGTCTTTGGAACAGCTGAAGCTGTTGCCATGGTGATTCTTGGGAAGTAGAGAATGTAGTTGGAACCATTTTTTGAACTGATTTAGTGAGAAATTTGTGTGGACATGAAAGGGAGTTACTTAATTAGAAGATGATTCTTATTCCCTCCATCACACATACAAGAGTGACTCTTTTTTGCCTCTTACCAAAGTAGAAACAGTTTTGTTCGTTGCCTTTTTGTCTCTAGTGAAATTATTGGGGGCTCAATTTTTCGAAAAATATTAAACAGAAGAAGAGAAAATGTAATATATTTATATAAACGGAAATAGCAATTCCATGCTTTTTTCTTTGTCGAAACTCGAAATCTAATATTTTTGTTTCTTTGCAATTTCCAGTTAATATTTGTCCAGTCTTGATTTAACTTGCTCCTTCATCATCAGTTTTACTTTTTTCATTCCCCTTTGGAATTCATAAACTATTTGACCAACTTATCTTTGAACTTTTCACTTTCTCGTATGAATAATTTTCCCAAAAGAGAGAAGCTAAAATAAGAATAAATCATAAAAAATAGACTGGCACATTTTATTCTCGTCTAAATTGATTTTTCTTATTCTTTTTCCCCCATTTGACTAAGTTCTTCGGGATAACTATGGTGTTAACTGTAGGGAAATAACACGGGAAAATAATAATAATAATAATAATAATAATACTGCGATAATATTTGTGAGCAAATATAGATACAAGGATTGGCTTGAGTCGTGCTGGGCACTGTTCTAAGAAACTATTTCAGCAATGTGAAATGTTTCCTAAAATTAAACAAACATACCTCTATTTATTTAGGGAATACAAGAATCAGCAAAATCAAATATACCAGCAAGTTGTTAAAAGAAACAAATAAAGTATCTATTGAAAATAGAAAAAGGTACAACAACAACAACCCAGTATAAGGTCTGGGGAGGGTAGTGTGTACGCAGACCTTACCCCTACCCTGGGGTAGAGAGGTTGTTTCCGATAGACCCTCGGCTCTCTCCCTCCAAGAACTCCCCACTTTGCTCTTGGGGTGACTCGAACTCACAACCTCCTGGTTGGAAGTGGAGGGTGCACCACTAGAGCAACCCACTCTTGTCTGAAGATAGAAAAAGGTGAAGACATAAAAAGAACATTGGAATGAAAGAAAGAGAGCAAGTAGTAATTTGAAGTTAATGATTAGCTTTTTTTTTTGTGTTTCATCCGTAGAAATTGAAGGCATATTTATAAGTTCAATAATGACAATTGCTTGAGACAAGTGTTATGTCTCCTCTGCCACTTGGTACTTGGCTTATGCCACTTACCCAAAACCAAGAGAAAGGATGTCACATGCTGAATATTGAAATAGACCAAAGACACTTGTGAAAATTTTCACATGCATAGTAGCCACTTAAAAATAGATAGGACATTTGTAAAATAAAAGAACACTTGGCTATTTAAATATTTTGAAAATACTGTCACAATCCTCACATATTTTCAAAAAAATTATAGGAAAAGGATAAATAAATGGGAGATTGCTGGATTTGCATGGTCCAAATGTAATAGGTTTGGTGTCTTCTGAACTATGAACCAAACTTAGACCAATAAAATTTAACTCACTGAATTACTGATGAAATATAATATTTCTTTGAACCAATAATTCTTACTGTAAGTCATAGATTTTATCAATCACATCTTGACCCTCACAATTTTGCTGTTCAATGCGGTTTTGCGCCACTAGGCCATGCGCGTGCCAATATCTCATAGGAGCGGCCCCACTCCACTCTCATATAGGTGAATTCATCAAGTGTATACTGTTTTTAAATATATCATCCATAAGGAATATGAATTCATTAAGAGTTATAATTTAGCCTCTCAATTAGTAGCAGTCAAGCACTCTCTTTTAGTATTTCAGTGTCAATATTGACTTGTTGTTACCCATATGAACCTACTTCATGGGATCTCCAATCACATAGGTTGAGTTACCATCTCTATTGACAATATGGCCTTAACCCCGTCTCTTTTGAGGCTTGAAGAATTAACTTTATTCCCACTGGTTTAGTCAGAGGATCGGCCAAATTAACTTCTGACTTTACATAATCAATGAAAATTATTCCATCTCTCAGCAGTTGCTTATGACATCATGTCTCAATTTTATGTGTCTACTTTTACAATTATAAGATTTATTTTTTGCAATAGCTATTGTCGCTTGGCAATCACAATGTATAGACACAAGAGGCAATACGTCTTTTATTAAAGTAATATTAGCTAAGAAGTTTCTTAGCCACTCAGCCTCATACCAGCTAACTCCAGAGCTACAAACTTTGATTCCATAGTCGATCTAGCAATGATCGTTTGTTTAGCTGATTTTCACGATATTGCACCACCACCAATGGCGAATACATAACCACTAGTGAATTTTATCTCATCTGAATCAAAGATCCAACTTGCATCACTGTACCCTTCTAAAATAGAAGAAAATCTACTATATTGGATACCATACTTCATGGTTTCTCTCAAATATTTTATTAGTCTAGCTAATGCAGACCAATGCTCGTTGTTGGGATTATGAGTATATCTATTCAGTCTATACACAACATAGGCTATATCAAGCCTTGTAAAATTCATTAAATGTATCAGACTCCCAATAATCTGAGTATATTTAGACTGAGCAATTGGGTCACCATTATTCTTTTTCAACTGAGAGTTAGCATCAAAATGAGTGCTTACATGTGTGATATTAAAATATTCAAACTTCTTTAGAAGTCTCTCAACATAATGTTCTTATGATAACATTATGCCATCTTCACTCCTTATAACTTTAACTCCCAATATTGTATTTACTTCACCCAGATCTTTCATATCAAAATTAGCAGACAAAAATAATTTAGTATTGCACAATATTTAAACTTGTACCAAATATAAGCATGTCATCAACATATAGATATATTATCACATAATCATTGTCTACCTCTTTAGTATAAACACATTTATCTACCTCCACTGAAGAAAAATTGTCTCTCAGTAAGACTTGTTCAAATTTCTTATACCACTGCGTAGGAGCTTGTTTAAGGTCATAAAGAGATTTAATTAATTTACAAACTTTATTTTCTTGTCCAGAAATGACACAGCCTTTAGGTTGAACCATATAAATTTCTTCTTCTAAATCACCATTTTAAAAAGCTGTTTTGATATCCATTTGATGGATAAAAAGCTTATGGATTAAAGCTAAGGCAATTAAAACTCTAATAAAAGAAATTCTAGTCACTGGTATAAATGTATCAAAATTTAATTATATTTTATTTTGAAAAAATTATTTTGCTACTAACCGAGCTTTATATTATTTGAAGATCCATTAGGATTAAATTTCTTTTTGAAAATCCATTTACAACTAATAGGCTTTGCACCAGGAGGTAAATCTGTTAAAATCCATGTTTTATTTTTCAAAATAGAATCGATTTCAACTTTTATTGCTTATTTTCAATAATTAGCTTCTGAAGAAATTATAGCTTCAAAATAATTTGATGGTTCATTATCGACAAGAAAAGTTTGAAATCATTTTCATAAGAAAAATATTATTTCCTAGGCCTTTTACTCCTTCTCAGTTCCTCGTTAGAGATAATTTCATTATTTGTTTCAACGGGTGTATGAGAAATTTTATCAGATAGTGGAAACATTTATTCAAAGAACTCGTCATTCTTTGTCTCAATTATAGTATTGCGATCAAGCACATCGCTTTTTAAAACAAAAAATCTATATGCAACACTATGTTCAGCATATCCAATAAGCATGCAATCAACAGTTTTAGAACCTATTTTTCTCCTTTAAGGTTCAGGCAAAAGAACTTTAGCAAGGCACCCCCACACTTTTAAGTATTTCAAGTTAGGTTTATAACCCTTCCACAATTCATACAGAGTTTTGCCAGTTCTTCTAAGTGGTATTGTATTTTATAAGTGACATGCCGATAAAATAGCTTTACCCCACAAATTATCAGGAGCATTAGAACTAACTAACATAGAGTTCATCATCTCTTTCAATGTTCTATTTTTCCTTTCAGCTACTCCATTTGACTCAGGTGAATAAAGCGGAGTTACTTCATGAATAATTTTATTCTTTTCACAAAAATCATTTAAAGATAAATATTCTCCACCTCTATCACATCTAATTCTCTTGATTTTTCTACTAAGTTGATTTTCAACCTCAGTTTTATAAAAAATAAAAGCAGTAAATGCATCATCTTTATTTCTAAGAAAATACAACTTAGTAAATCTAGAATGATCATCAATAAAATTCACATAATATCTTTTACCATCTCTAGTCATATTCTGCTTTAAATCGCTTAAATCAGTGTGAATCAAGGATAATAATTCAGTTTCTCTATTTATAGAAAAACAAGTCTGTCTATTACTTTTTAGTTTCAGCACATATTTTACACTTGTCAATATTATTTGAGTCTAAACCAGATATTAATCCTAGTGACATTAACATGTCCTAGTCTAGCATGCTATACAGAGATAGACTCAACCATATAAGCAGAAGAAGATGCATTTTCATTGCTTGTCACGACCCAATTTTCCCTCAGTTGGGTATCGTGATGGCACCTAGTCTTAGGGACTAGGTAAGCCTAACATTTACTAAATAACAACAATAATTAAATAACATCTAACAATTTTTTAAATAGAAATCTCTATAAAATTTACAATTCCCAAAACCGGTAGTACAAGTCATAAGCTCTATAGAGTTTACTACAACTTCTAAATACGACTGTTTGGAAATAAGTAAAAAAAAATAGTGCGAATACAAAATAGGACGGTGACTCCGAAGCCTGCGAATGCAGCATCAGGTTTACCTTGAGTCTCCACAGCAACAATCTGGGCTGCTAGCTATTGATCAACTGACTTCGAAATACCTGGATCTGGACAAAAAAAATATGCAGAAGTGTAGTATGAGTACACCACGGCGGTACCCAGCAAGTATCAAGACTAACCTCAGTAGAGCAGTGAGGAGGAACAGTTAAGACACCTACTAGACTAAATAACCTGAACAAGTGTAGGTATAGGAGTAACAGAGTATGATATCTACATAAAGACTACACGAAGCGACAAATAATACGGTAATTGCAATAAGGAAGGAAAA